ATTTGTCCTGATCCATTCTACTGTACAGTATTACAAATGAAATCACATGAAAAAAAAAAAAAATCAGGCAATAGAAAATGTACAACAGCTTTGACGTTATACAGTAATATTTTTTTAAAAATCAAATGAAATTCATGTTTTCTTATCACAGCCACTTCACTGCTGACTGTAATGGTAATTTCATTTTCATATTCTTGATAAGCTAGCCATTGCTATAAAAATGCAATTGATTCTTTTGAAATATATATCTTGCCTACAGCAATATTGTTTTGTGGCACATATGTCAACAGAACAGCAATCCAAAATAAAGTGACAACTAGATTTAATAAATTAATATTCTTTAAAGATGTACAATGAACATTCATTTTAATCCAAGGTTGTAGGGTATTGGGATATTGCTATTTACACATTTACAGATCTCAGTACTGGTAAGTTCAGAAATTGCAGATAGTACACAGCCTTAACTGCTATCTGAATGCCATGAGAAAAGAAACCAAAATTAAAATATAAAAACCCAGCTGAGAAAATAGTTTGGAAATACCCAAATAATAACAACCAGTCTATGAGAAAGAACACAAAGGCAAAGGAAGATCAAGTAATTCCATGTGACCAATTTCTATTCTTGTGAAGACTGAGGAGGTGACGGTGATGTCCCTGGTTTCCCAGTTTTTCGTTCATAATTCACAAGTCGTTGCCCAACAAGATATCTAGGATTTAAAAGAGGGTATTTAAAAAAAAATAGTCTTCATTTCAGTTTGGTTCTGAAATGAAATACTAAGAACATTTCTTCACAAAAGATACAATTTCACTAAAGATTTAAAAAAAGAAACTTCCATTGTTTTCAAGAGATACAGGAAGGCAGCATTACTACTGTAATCTAGTCAAACCACAATAAACACAAATTCACTCTACAATTTCAGGTGTTTCTGGAAGAGCTACGAGTGGGAAAAATTCTGTCCATAGTTCCCAAGTATTCCAGCTCCCTAAATATTTAGGAGATTGTCACTGTACTCTGGTATTAATAAATCTTGACTAGCATACTTACTTATCATTTTTAATATGCTCATAAAGGCGCTTGAATTGACGGATCTGAAAGGATAATATTCCCATCAAAACTACTACCATGAGTAGAAAAGGATAAATCCGTCGTTGTACTAAATTTTGCATCTCAGGAGTGACACCTATAAATAGTAATAGAAAAATAAAGAAATTAAAAATTGGATTAATGCAAATTCTAAACTTTTCTATTACGATTGTAAAATTTTAATGTTAATTAGGTTACCTTTTCATTTGTAATAAACGATAAATTTAAACAATTATAAAAATATTACATTTCAACTAATGCATTATTTTAAAACAAAGGTTATATGTTTATCTTTGTTAATGCCATTTAGGTATTTTGAAAAAGCAGTTAATACCTATGACATAATAGCATGTTCTCAAAAAAAGAAATTGTGGTTAACTGGAAAACCCAACAGCTCAACAACTAGTCTTTTTTCTATTCATTCAAAATTGATTCTCTTCTATTTCTCCCTTACTCTGGATTCTTGATAGTACCCTGTTTTCCTGAAAATAAGACCTCCCCGGTTAATAAACTTTTGAGCGCATGCGCCCTCCCCGAAAATACTGCAACAAAGCAGCAGCTATGAGGTGACCACACTTGCCGCCTTCTGCACCTCAAAAATAATAACACCTCCCTGAAAATAAGACCTCCCCGGTTAATAAACTTTTGAGCGCATGCGCCCTCCCAGAAAATACTGCAACAAAGAAGCAGCTATGAGGGGACCA